GGCAGCCAAGACACTGTCTTTCTGCATAAGTTTTCCAAGTTTTTATGTGTAGGAACTTTTCCTCTCTTATACTGTGGTCAAAATTAGATTGTCGTTTTCTTTTTGCAAAGCATTGACTATTACTTTATAATTTGAAAGCATACGACTTCTTATGAAGCAATAAAATTTGGGCGAGCAAAGTATGTTTGACTGTGACAATGGTGTTTTAGCTACACAAAAATTTGCATTTATAAAACAATTAAGAGTAAACTAAAAGATGTACGATACTTTACAGGTATCGATCTGACTGATGGACATGATAAGCTGCAGATACAAGATGAAGTTACTCTTATATTTAGCCAATTTGCTCTTCATATACACGTCACATCTCAGTTCAGGGGAGTCTATCGTCTTGCCTGGCATCAACCGCGACGTTTACGCCAGGCCCGGCGATATCAACATTGGTTCTATCATGATGCTGACCTCGGGAACCAGTGAGTTTGGCTGCTCCAAGACACCGTATCCAAACTCCTGGAATATTGAGTACCCGGAAGCAGTTGCCTTTGTTGTGGACAAGATTAATAAAGATGACAAGATTCTTCCAAATATAACATTAGGCTTTTTCCTAGTGGACGACTGCAGCGATAGAAAGTACGCGTTGGCTCAAGCAATGACCTTTTTACCTCGTGCTTCTGCGTCGTGTTCGAACGAAACGTGCAACAGGACAGATGTTTCCTACTCTTTGTCGCCCATGTTTCATTCTGAGCCAATTCGCCAGTATGAAGTTATGGGGCTTTTAGCTCCGTTTTTAAGTATATCGGCTGCTCCCATTTCGTATCTAATGTCTATAGCTAAGGTACCAATTGTTGGCTACACCACGACCTCAGATGAGCTGAGTGACCGTGAACTTCATCCTTATTACCTTAGAGTAGTGACCGCTGACAAATATCAAGCCATTGCCATGCTGAAGTTTATATCCTCGTTCGGGTGGACGTACATTTCTGTTGTTTACTCTGCGGGAACCTACGGCGAGAGAGCTTTTGACACACTTAAAACATACGCCCCTAAGTACAATATTTGCATAGCTACTGCAAACAGAGTGGCTAACGAGGATGACACAGATCCAGTTGTGACAGACCTGCTACAGTATCCGCGGGCCAGAGTTGTCATTCTGTTTGCAGATGAAAAGCCAGTGAGAAGTTTGTTTGGGTCAGTGTCTAGGAAGAATGCCACAGGCAAGTTCATCTGGGTTTGCTGTGATTCCGTGACCACAGCCAGTGTTGAACGACTGCGAGAACACAGCAGCGACGTGGTCGGAGCGTTTCTCTTCATGTACAACACGGTGATAGTTCCAGAATTCTACGATTATATCCGAGGCCAGAACGTCTCCGCGTCGACCAACCCGTGGTTCAAACCAGCCTGGGAGAGCACAGCCAGCTGCTCGTTTGCTGCTAACACTTGCAATCCTTCTGACGACATCACCAAAAAAGTTAACTTTGGAAAAATGTTGGGTCCATCTTTGGCAATGGATGCCGTACTAACGTTTGCACATGGTGCCCATAATTTGATATCTGACCGATGTCCTAAAGCAATAGGTACATATGCACGTAATTGTGTGAAGCGGGATTTGTTGCTGCAGTATCTTACAAATGTTTCTTTTCCAGGATACACTGGAATGATCAAATTCGATTCAAGCAGTGGCTTCAAGGGGGTTTATATGATAAATCAAATGAAGTATAGCTGTAGAGGGAATGGTAAAGGTGACAATACCAGCAACACATGTGATCAAGACTTAGTTCAAAAAACAGTTGCTTACTATAATTCGTCAAATGACTTTCTGAAGCTAACAAACGTCAGCATATCTTGGGACCACCTGCGGCAGGAAGAATCAATTGTTCCCATTTGGCAAAGATCGTTTAGTGCTGACGTGCCAGAATCCGTGTGCAGTAGACCATGTCGTAATGATGAGTATAAAATACAGAAGGAATTAACATGCTGCTGGGATTGCCGAAAATGTCGAGAGAATGAAAGGCTTAATCACGCTGCAGGTGAGTGCCAAGTATGTGAGCTGTTCACTTGGCCAGACCCAGGTACAGGTTTCACGACATGTGTACTGATCCCACTTACCCACCCTCTGCCGTCGGAAACCTTACCAGTCATACTGATCATGTTGTCAGTCATCGCCATGGGCGGCACATCCTTTGTAATATGCTCCTACATCTACTACAGCCAGACTCGAATCATCAAAGCGGCAAGCAGGGAGCTGAGCTTCCTACAGCTGGGCGGTGTCTTCGTTGGCTACGTGACTGTGATCTGCTTCCAGACAACCCCTTCACCCAGCATGTGCAGCGCCTTGTACTTCATGTTCTGCCTGAGTTTCGCCTGGCTCTACTCGCCCTTGCTGGTCAAGACGATCCGAATTTACCGAATTTTTCAAAGCGGGTCCAAAAACAACAAGAGGCCAAGGTTCATCAGTCCTAGGTCACAGGTGCTCTTCTCATTCTTGATTATAATCTCTCAGGTAATTCCATACTACATATTATATTTGTGTGTGTGTGTATGTATGTGTGTGTGTATGTTGAAGAATACCGAGGGGACTGAGCCTCGAGAGGCAGGGGGTAAGAAGTGTTGGTGTTGTGGGTAGTGGGTTTCCCCCCTTACTTCACCCTAGGCCTAGTGAACTTGAACTTGCCAAACTGCTAAACAACCACAGGGTACACGTGGCTGCCCTACAAGAAACCCTGCATAAAGACTCTGATCTACATCTCACTGGATATACTAGTTATGCCTGTAAGGGCAATGACTGCCGGGGCATAGTAACCTATATCAGAAATGACATGCAAGGAGATGTAACAATGCTGTTGACATCTCACCCTACAGATGTGCAAAAAATAACTATCTGGCACAATGGAAGCAAATATACGATATACAACGTGTACAGCCCACCTCAGACAACATGCAACATACTAGAACTATACAAGACACAGTACCATAAAACCCTTTTTGTTGGTGACTTCAACGGACACTCGCCACGTTGGGGTTACCCTGACTACAATAGCACGGGGAAATACATCGAAGATACTTGTGAAACAACTAACCTATTAGTGCTGCAGGACACAGAGTCTACACCTACACTGTTACACAGGGCCCACCTATCTCTCAGCCGAACCCGTTGGAATTTCCGAAAAGCAAATTGAAAACTATTTTCAGGAAACATCTGACTGCCTCCTGGGAAGAATTGACAACAGCTGTGTGGAAACTTTTTGTGAAGATATAACACAAGCAATCCTGAAGGCAGCGTCGAAAGCCATCCCAAGGGGCAGCCGGAAGGCATATAAAACTTTTTGGAATAAAGAAATTCAAATTACTATATCTGAAAGGAATAAAGCTAGAATATTGCTAGAAACTGCACGTTTAACAGAAGCAAAGATCAAATACAATAAAGCATGTGCCAGAGTAAAGCTTGTAGTTAATAAGGCTAAAAGAGATAAATGGACAGAAACTTGCTCCAACTTAGACCTTAGACAGAATGGAAATAAAGCATGGACTTTAGTTAAAAACCACTCCGGAGAAAGTAGAAGGGTGAACCCAAAACCAGTGACAGATGGGAGTAAGACAATCACTGAAGACAAGAAGAAAGCAGAACATTTCAATCATTATTTTGCCTCAGTTAACAGAGCAGGTAAGCTGTCAGAACTCGATAGAACACGGCTCTCTCAGTTGAAGAAACAAGAGAGAGCTTAAACAACCAGCGACTCCCTTTTTTAAGATGAATTTAGCATGATTGATTTGGAGCAAGCCCTGAAAAAATTAAAATCTAGAAAATCTCCAGGCCCAGATAAAATCCACAACGAAATGCTGCTACGTCTTGGCCGGTCTGGGAGAGAAGTAGTTCTCAGGCTTATTAATAAAACTTGGAGGTCAAGCAAACTTCCAAAGGCATGGAGGAATGCATATATCGTCCCCATTCTTAAAACCAGAAAGCCTCCAGATGACCCCAAAAGCTACCGCCAGATATCCTTAACATCATGCTTGTGCAAAGTTGCAGAAAGAATGATAAACAGGCGCCTATATTGGTTCCTTGAGAGTTCTGGTGTTCTATGCCATGAACAGGCAGGCTTCAGAACCAATAGCTGTACAGAAGACCAGCTGTTCAGACTGACACAAAGAATACATGATGGCTTCCAGAATAAGAAACACACAGTGGCCGTCTTTGTCGACCTCCAGCAGGCCTATGACAGAGTATGGAGAAAAGGTCTCCTGATGAAGATGATGAGCATAGGAATAAATGGCAGATTGTATAACTGGGTGAAATACTTTCTGATAGATAGAACAATCCAGACTAAGATGCACAACGCAATCTCTTCTAAAGAAGTCTTGGAGGAGGGCTTGCCACAAGGTTTATCATTGAGCTGTACACTGTTCCTAAACTTTATCAATGACCTGCCAGAAGAAATCAAGGCCGAAAAAGCCTTGTACGCTGATGACCTAGCAATATGGCAGAGTCATGAAAATGTGGAAAGTGGGGCCCAAAGACTGAATGGAGACCGTAGAAGACTGCATGAGTACTGCCAAAGATGGAAACTCAAGGTTAACTGTGCAAAGACGGTCTACACAATCTTTACCAAAAGCCACCAAGTAGTGAGGAAGAATATTAACCTGAGGTTAGACAAACACCAAGTGATGAAAGATGAGCATCCCACATACCTTGAAGTCACACTTGACCCGCAGCTCAGCCTCAAGAACCATATTGAAAACGTCAGGAATAAGGCATTGGGGCGGTTACAGTTATTAAAGAGACTTGCAGGTACATCATGTGGATCAGACAAGGAAACTCTGAGGGGCTTATATCTAGGATATGTTTGCTCTGTGATAGAGTACAACAACTCACTGCTTACAACTTGCTCCAAAACAATATGAATAAACTCTCAGGGAGCAAGTACAGCAGGGATCTACCAGTCATCAGTAGAAGTTATCCTTGTCGACAAACGTTTCTGCCCACGATCTCCTAGACGTTTTCAGAGGTGGGCCCACCTGAGTTCATGAAGCTCAGGGCTGGTACCCTGCTGCACGAAATTACCGGATGGTGTTTTTCTTTCGGATAGGGACAAGACGACTTGGTGATTTGCATAAGGTACTGTGAGATAAGAAATCGCCGCGGTAGCCTAATTAGAACAGTCAGCATACCTGGACGTCCGAGCGACAAGCTTACGATTGGTTTACCGGACACATGTTGGACTTTGTTAGCAGGTGGCAGAGAGACACTGGCAGACAATTCAGACACGATGGATTTTCAAGGGGTGAGAAACCCTTTTCCACTAGACACCCGGACCAGCTCACCGAGGCCCATCCCCTACGTTGTTTCGTTGCGTCCAAAGCCAGCTCGAGGCCCTCTCGGCTACCTCGCCCAGTTTTTTAAGTGTTCGTTTCCGTTCATTACCGCGCAATCCTAGTTCTTTAACCACATTGTACAGTGAAGTGAAGACGAGACCTCTCGCTCCTACTTCGTACGCCTCGTTTCTCCTCAGACCGGCTGCTAAATCACAGTATTTCTCGAGCTTGTACGTGTGATTTTCGTCCATACGCGACTCATACGGGACGGTCAGCTCAATCAGGATGAGCTGCCATTTCTCCGCCGAGTGGAGAACTATGTCAGGTCGCAGGCCGGTCTTCCGGATTAACTCAGGGTACCTTTCACTAACCTAGATACTCTTGACAGAGTACAAAATAATGCCCTCCGATTAATCTGCGGAGCTATGTAGTCTACACCAACTGCTGCATGTGAAATCCATACAAATGTGGAACCCCTCGGGTTGCGGACAGAAAAAGCCACTTTAGAAATTTTTCAAAGATGCGTTAGGAAAAATCGTAACCATCTTAATAGACATCTTGTAGAAAACTGGGAATACAAACAAAGAATAGAGCACAAATCGGTTTTACACTGTGTTAATGAAATTCAGGACACATACCACCTCCCAGAAAGACGTCAAGGAATTCAGAATGTTGCAAGAAACCTACCACCACATGCTCGCTTTAAAGCTCCAGAAGTCCGAATTAAATTGGTAGGCGAGGAAACCAAACAGTCCGACCCAATCGCTCTTATGAACTCATCACTAAAGACCGTTGATTCTTACCCCTATGGATACATGTCTATACTGATGGATCAGCATTTAAAGCTACCATTATAGCAGGTTACGGAATCTACATAGGTTATCCCGATGGATCTGTTGAAGAGATTTTTGATGCATGCGGGGGAATTCTGTTCAAATTATGAAGCTGAAATAATTGCACTGGAAACAGCAGTATACCACCTAAAGACTGTAATGGTTGTTTACCCTTGAAAGGCCAAAAATATTGTCATCTTCACAGATTCAATGTCTGCCCTTCAAGCTCTGGAGGGCAGTGAACGCTGCAGAACTGACATAGCCAAGATAATCCTGGATGCTGATCAGCTTATTACCTCATACAACATCAGAATAGTGATGCAGTGGATTCCAGGTCACTCCGGCACACCAGGTAATGACAGAGCTGACAGACTGGCAAAGAAAGGAGCAACACAAGAAGAACCACCTACAGCGACAACCCTAAACAGAATACAGCCACAACACTCCCCAGAGTGCCAGCTATGTAACTACCCCTACGAAACTGTTGAACACCATCTCTTTGAGTGCCCAAAACTCAGTGAGACAAGAAGAAAGCTACTCCCTCCGAGACCAGACAAGTGGAACACCTTGTACGGAGGAAAAGAAGAGCTTGTGAAAACATGCAAATTCCACTACATGGTATTGGGCCAAAGGGCGAAAGCTCATGCGCCGCTGGATCGATAAAAACAAGAATACCGAGGGACCCGATGGAAGCATTAGATTGTCAGAATAGGAAATATACAATGCATTCAAAGACGACTATCCCGAATTAAAATATTTTAGGGAGTATTATTCCATAACGTACGCTACTTTTCAGGCAGATGAAAAAATGACGCAAAAGCGGTGATATATCAGCCTTCAAAACTGCTCCAATGGAAATAAAACAACCGCTGATCAACTGATAACTCATATCTTTTCTTTGTCACCATTGCCAGATCTTGTCACTAACCAAGGCACAAGAGAGGAAGATTACATTATGTGACAGACATCCCAGAAGACCCATTAGTGAGCGGCAGAATATAAAAATCCAGAAATGATGGCATCAGATAAATGGTAACAGCAGCACCATGCACTGATTGCAGGAGACTAAGAATACATTGGCTTGGGGTGGAACAAGGAAAATCCGGCGCCAACTTACAACCCATGGTGTTTTCTTGACGGTGGTGCGCCAACTTACAACCCATGGTGTTTTCTTGACGGTGGTGCGCTAACTTACAACCCATGGTGTTTTCTTGACGGTGGTGCGCTAACTTACAACCCATGGTGTTTTCTTGACGGTGGTGCGCCAACTTACAACCCATGGTGTTTTCTTGACGGTGGTGCGCTAACTTACAACCCATGGTGTTTTCTTGACGGTGGTGCGCCAACTTACAACCCA